TGATGCTAACAATAAAATGATCAAGTATAGGTATGCACTGTTTAATGTCCATTTGCATGCACATCTGTGGTTCAATAAGGTTTTTTTTTTTTTTTGGTATTTTTTAAATAGGAAAGTAGTTCTCCTTTTATTATTTCCTCCTAATAGTTTTAAAGACCCCAAACTCAGACTCTTGCAGTACTAGACCACAGGTGAGATACAGGAAGGAGGCAGAGGGCCCTGCCTCTGGGCTTGGACTCTTGGGCTTTGTCTGGTAGACAGGCAGGTAGGTAGGTGGGTACACACTCCCTCCTAGTCCACTTCCCCTGAATCCACTCCCACTGCTGCTGCAGCTGTCCACTCCTCCACCCGTTCCTCTGGCAGCAACAAGGACAACCAAAAGCAGGCTCACACAAGGTTTTAACATGGTGTTCACACAATGTCCATATCAAGGAACACCCTACTTCACAGACCATACTGTGGACATTAAGTGATGTGTACCTGCAGTCCACTTAATTAAAAGCTTAAACAAATTGATTTCTGAGCATATAACCATATAACTCTACTATGTAAGACATGAAAAAACATTTGATAAAAACTAATGATTTTATTTAGGTTAAAAAAAAAAGCTTTATATTCTTAGGCAATACCAAGAAAAGTACAGTCTTATTTTATACTTACATATAAGTTTAGGTATGGAACCATACTTGGGATGACTTGAAAGGATGCCTAAAGATAAAAGAATAAATATTTCTGAGTAACATTAATTGTTGGAAGACACATATACATAATTGAGGTAAAGTATGCAGTAGTTTCACTAGAATTTTAAATTTATGCCAAGAGTATATAGGAAAATGACAAAAGTTATCAAGAGAAATACACTATGTTCATGAATTGAAATATTTAATATTATGAAGATGACAATTCTCCACAAATTGATCTATAAATGCAGTCCCAATGCAAATCAATACAAGTCTTTACAAAAAGATGAAAAGTTTATTGTAAAAAACACGTGGAAACAAAAAGAGTCAAATACGTCATTGTCAGATGCTGTCAAGTCAGCTCCAACTCATACTGACCCTATGTAAGATAGAATGCAATAAGGCCCGATCAGGTGCCAGCCTCATAATCCTTGTTATACTCAAGTCTCCTGACTGCCGGGCAAAAGTCCTGCTTATAGTTCTAATCATGAGATCCTTCTTTCCAAAAATATTCTTCCACCTTTAATCTAAATCTTGCCCATCCTTCAAGATACACTTCTTCAAAAAAAAAAATTCTCCTTGATTATAGCAATCCTACAGAGAGCTTGCTTTTTTGCACACCTGAAGCTCTTGAGTCTTTACTACACAATTCAGTTGCTTATTAAGCATTCAATTATATTCTCTATATGCTTCAATGTCTGTTTACATTGTTTCCTCAGATGAACTATTAGTAGCTCTTAAATTTCTCTGTATGACCCCTCAATGCCTTGCTTCAGTCATTACTATTTAAATGGCAAATTAGATTAAAACATATAAAGAACTAAAATAAAACACTATAAATTCTCCATTTATAACTCCCTGTGCCAGTTTTTCCTTAAAAGTAATGATTAAAATTAGTTTTTTCCTCAATACAGACCCAGTCTCAATGTTTCATACCACTCAGTCCTACAGGACATTTAATGTGCGTATGCATCCTGACTTGTTTCCATGATTTAGACTCTTATCATGGCAGTAAACTATAATGAGGCTCTTTGGGAGTTCTTCATATTTTTTTCATTTTTAAACCAACAGGGCCAGGATCCTCCCATTTCCCTCCAAAAGTACTTTTCTCAACTAGTTTTGCCAAGAAGACTACTAAGAAGTTCAAATTGCTGAAGTGAAAGGCTTAAACTTCCTGGTAACATTTTAAGAGGCACTAATTAATTCAAACAAACCTTTTTTAGGATATGTGTATGTCACTCTAGAGTCATGCCACCTGTTTCTGGATTATCTTCCCATGCCCACGTAGTAAGTTCATGAAGTAAAATAAGCAATTCTACTGCTTACACCACTACATTTTAAGAGATAGAGACTGATACATTAATACTGTAGTACAGTGATTTATTTAATATGGCCCTTCTAGCCAGTCTCGAGAAGCTCTGGTGGTACAGTGGTTAAAGTGCTTAGCTGTGAACCAGAAGGTTGGTGGTTTAAACCAATCAGCTGCTCTGTGGAATAAAGATTTGGCAGTCAGCTTCCCTAAAGATATGGAAATCCCATAAGGCAGTTCTACTCTGTCCTATATATAGGGTCACTGTGAGCGAGAACCCAGTAGCAGTGGGTTTTTGGTTTAGCTATTGTCTTTTTGACTCCCATACAATGAGTGGGTAGGAATATGCAAAAAATGTCTGGCCTACCAAGGGGACTGGATGGCTTGCTACTAATGCAAATAAGGTGCATGGACCCCTTGTGGGACTGTCAAGTAAGGTATATGAAACTCTAATGAGAGGACTGGACAGTTTTGCCATCTGACTAGGCTTAAAGGGAGACATGGAGAGGGGTAAGAGCTGTAACACAGAAGACGGTGAGAGAGATTGTGCAGCAAGAGCAATACTAGCACAAGACAGTCATCAGGAGGCTGGCACAAGACAGCTGCTAAAGACTGTTAACACTTACCTGACAAGGCCCTGAGCATGGCACAGAAGGAAAGGGTGAGAAGATGCTGTCCTGATCAAGTACTGCATCCTGAGTTACTGCTGCTACTTCTAATTCCCAGCTGTACCCTGTTACTTCCCTAATAAACCACTTAACTGTAAGTATAGCTCATGAGTTCTGTGACACATTGTTGCAAATCATGAAAACCAAAGACCAGAGGGAGAATACTGAGAGGAGGAGAAGCAGTTGATGTTAGAGATGATGGAGCAGTATAAGAGTTTGGAAAAGTTGGACATGTGGGGTATCTTTAACCTCTGCCTCATACGAACATGCTGTGTGCTGCTTTTATAAATTACTCATTTAAATATTTAAACTCAACTCCACATACGAATATGTTGTATGACTTAAGCCAATAAATTACAAAACAAGAAAGTCTCCTCAAGGAATTGTTAAAAATAAGATTACCTGCCAGACTCCTGAGATTCTATTTTATTTAATGTCACACTCTTCCCTTTCCAGATGACTGTAAGGTAAAGCTGGTTTTAGGACCTGTTGTTGTTGTTGTTGTTATGTGCCATCGAGTCGACCCCCGCTTCTTAGCGACCCCTCCTTGGGTTTCCGAGGCAGTATCACTACGGAAGTAGGATTGCCCAACCTTCCTTCCGAGGAGTGGCTGGTGGGTTTGAACCGCCAGCCATCTGGTTAGCAGGCAAGTGTCTTAGCCACTCTGCTACCAGAGCTCCCAGGACCTACTGATCTCTAAATCAGTACAGAGAATCACATGGAATTTGTTAAAAGATTCCCAGGTCTCACCTTGAAGATTCTAATTCAGCAGGTCTAGGATGGGACCTGTGAATTTGCATTTCTAATAAGCTGCTAAAGGATGATACTCCTGGTCCCCGGTATTTGCCTCTCTGAAAACCATCCCCACGTTTTTACTTTCTTGCTCTTATAGACTGAAAATTGCTATAGTACAGGACATTAAATTTTGAAACCAAGATATATAAGTCAGTAGGTCCATGGAGACCTAACTCTTGTGATATCATAAAAATTCATCAGTGATAATGTTTAATGTATTTATTTTACCTAAAAATAAGAAAATGACATAAACATGATAGATATCCAAAGCACTAAATAAAGTCAAATTTTAAATGTTTACCTTTACCATGAATAGATTTGATGGGATATTTTTACATATGTATTTATATATGCTGCAAATATATATATGAATATAGTAAAGCAGACAGGGGGCAACGTCATGAAAACTTCTTAGCCATAACCAACCACCTAGAGGGAACGAGTCACTGGGCCTGAGGTCAGCACCATCGTCTTGGGGGACACATCAAGGTGAACTGGAACAGTCCATAAAGATAATGTTCTATATCCTACATTGGTGAGTACCAACAAGAGTCTCAAAAACTTGTGAGCGGCCATTTACGGTTTAACTATTGGTCTCTACCCGTCTAGAGCAAAGAAGTGTGAAGAAAATCAAAGACACAAGGAAACAATCAGTCCAAAGGATTAAAGGACAAAACAAACTATAGCCTCCAAAACCCTGAGACCAGAAGAACTAAATGGCACCAGGCTACCAGTGCTGACTGCTCTGAAAGTGATCACAAGAGGTCCCTCATAGAGTGGGAGAAAAATGTGGAACAAAATTCAGAATAATAAAGACAAAGCTTACTGGTCTGATAAGTGGAAGCCCTGAGATTATGGCCCTTAGACATCCTTCAGGCCTGGTGTCTAACTCAGTCCTGTGGCTCAACTTTCAGACAAATGATGGAGGGCCTATAAGGTGAACAATAACACCAGGGAGGTATGAACTTCTTAGAATAAATAATCAACCCTATGAAATCCCAAGAGCAGGATTTGCCCAGGGTTAAGCTCAGAAGACAGGAAGGGATAGGAAAGAAGGATGAAGGGAAGTGGTAAACACAAGGAGGAAACAGAAAGATTTATATTACATTGTGGGAATTGCAATGAATGTCACAAAACAATGTATGCATGAACTGTTGATAGAATACCAATTTGCTCTGTCAACTTTCACCCAAAATTACAGTAAAAAGTAAAAGTAACAATAATCAGTGGTGATGGCTAAATCAAAACGGAAAAAAACAAAGTTACCTTTACTAATTAATCCTTGAGTTATCAGCATACTTGTTGCAGCCAAAGGCACAGCTATAAGAGATACAGAACTTGTTAACTTCAATAAAAGGCAAAGAGTTTATCTGCATTCATTAGGGTAGATAAATGAGTAACAGTGAAACTATCTAAGAAGTATGTTGCAAAATCGGTATCTGTAAAAGAGATTTTTCCACTTTTAAAAGTTGTACTATATACAGTCATAGGAAAAATAAAAGGAACATTTTAAATTTTAAAAAAGATTAAATATTAAACAATTCAAGAACCACCTTAAATCTAGATGACTCCAAAATAACACCAATATCATCAATTAATACAACATAGTCACAATTTCACCTGTGAGTACTGTCCTCTTCAAAAAAAAAGAAATCAAGTATATGAGACCAAATGGTCAACCCTTAAACTAAGCAAAGATGAGAAGGTAAAGGGAGGAGGGATACTAGATTAATAGTAAGAGAACCACTAGAATGGAATGAGACTGTTGACACACTGTGAAAAATGTAACCAATGTCACTGAACAATATCCACAGCAATTATTACAAAGGAAACTAAATTTGCTGCATAAACTTTCACCAAAAACACATTA